TATCAAAGTTGACAATATTTGAAAAAATTGCATTTCGGGTTTTCAAAGCGTAGTTCGCGTAGTTCGAGAACTAAGTACACTCGTGTTTACAAACAAACATCAACGAACGAGTTACAATACTTTCAGCAAAACTTCCTTTTTTGAATGTGTTTATAATCGGGTCATCAATTTCGGAGCACCATTCAGTATCTTGGTAAGAACGAATTGAACACCAAAATTACTTGAAATACCAGTTAAAATGTGCATGTTTTGCTTTCTCGTAAACAAATATGACTTTAATATTTTGTTATGCATCTTACGGATTCATTCGTAAAAAAAAACTGAATCGTGGTATGGAGCAAATGTACTTACTGCTGGATCATCAACGTTCTTCCGTGGACTGGTTTCATTGGGTAGTTGTAGGTTAGTCGATGAGGTAGTGGATAAAGATGAAGTTGTGCTTTCTACTTCAGTGGAACTGGAACTTTCGTCGTCAACGCGCGAGGCTAAACCATTAACCGCCCTAAAATAACAGCAGGGTTGGATAGCCCACAAAAGTTATACTCGGCCCGTGCTTGTGCTTAGAATAACATGCCTGATGAGTCGTGACACAAAAAGTCACAGATAGTACCGGTTGAAATTAAATATATTTTATTTGCCATTGTTATATAGACTAGAGGGAATATCCTCACAAATGACTATAAGCAGTAAACGTTTATACCTATCCTGATTACTGTATCAATATTGGGTTATCAGTCTTTTTTTCCATTCTTTGGAGACGATAGGCCTACTACGAATATAGTAGTTCCAGTGAGGAAAAAAATATGACTTATGTAATGTTAGCCACCTGCCTTGTCAATTAAACAAACCCCTTGGTATAAAACTTATGTTCAGATCAAATCGTAGCATTTAATGTACCGACCTCTGGTCCTGATGTTCACAATCAGTTCCGGACGGTTGCTTTGAATTTTTTTTTCGTTCACTTGAAGATGTGCTCGATTGCTGTCCACCCATTACAAGTTTTTCTCCAGCTTTTACTTTCGATAAGAAAAGCTTTTAATATCTGGGCTATTAATCGAAGCAATAAAATAGTCCTCCAAATCTACATCTGTTCCATTTCATGTTGCTTATTGGGGAAATTGAACAATGATTCAAGCCAGAATCTTACATAGCCTACCAGACTTCTGGTTCTTGCAATGGCGGACTGGCCAACGTTGAGAGAGTTTTTGTGACGTCACAATTTTCTAGTTATCTGGAATTTGAAAACAAATGACATTGCATTGCGGATTCATGAACATACTGTATTCAATATTGCCCCAGCCCCAGTTACTCGAACGCTGTTATTTGGTTTCGAAGTAGCAGAGTCCTGATGTGCGCCTTGAATACAATTTAGACACGAGCAACTTGATGAAAAAGCACGTTCAGCCTCAACTGGTGTATTTTTGGTAGTTTTGAGTGCTCCGTAGTTTAAACATTTTTAGCTATCGTAGGTAGCGCAGTATTTCTTTCTAGGCCACTGGAAGTCGAACTGTCGGATAACCTACCAACGCGGAAAGCCGACTCGCGAATACGAAATATATTTTGGGCTATCGTGATTTAATTTGACCCAGCCTTGTCAAAATTTATTCAATATTACATATCTATTTCAACTCATAGTCATATTTGTCTATTTCCAAATTATTTGTGAAGGGTTGCAATGCCAATCTGATTGTTTCCCATCTTAATACTTGTTCTGCGTAGTAATGTGTAGTAAATCTCGCAGAAGTTCTATATGCATTCTGCTTTTTTTCTCCACCCTAATGAATTGAAAATATAAAATTGTATTACTGTTATGCCTATAATTCATATACCAATCTATGGTTTTCTTCACACAACACATTGTCACTTATAGAACTTCCAATTTTCCTGTGATCTTATCTCTTATATTTTATCATGTGTAAGCATAAAAGAAGATTCAGAACAGATTGAAAGTGTAAATTAATATACTAAATAATAATATATTTGGTATGGAATTATTATTGTTTGCTCTTCTCTACTCAAAATTTATTTAAATACCTTCCTAATCCCGATTGGAAATTTATTTCATCTCTAATCAGATATCATTTTTTTACATAGTTTATATAGTTTTTTTTTATCATATGTATATCCAGAGAGTGTAATATTACAGAACCTGTGTTATTAATTTATTTATTCATGTGCTTGCTTTGGGTGGTAGGCTAACCGACTCAGATGACTGTTAATAGTCGTATCATTACCACCCTGTCATCTACCGAAACCAAATTTTTCTCATTTTGCTATTATATATATATTGTTTTCTGGTTTGACGAAACAATAAAATTCTCTCTCTCTAGGTATGGCTGAAAAAATTAGGTAAGATTGTTGAAAGCATCCGCGCCGTGTACCGACCGTACCGTAGCCCAGGGGTTCTCAAACTTTTTGTGTTGCGGAGCCCTCAAAGTGGTTGACTATTATTCACGGAGCCCAAAATGAATATTAAAATTGTTACTTTCCGATCAATATTACTGAGCAAGTTAAAAGTACTTTACTTTATTTAAATGCTAAATCTTTTTTAATAGGGCTAATACAAGTCATAAATAAATCTGAATTTCAAAGATAAATTATACAAATTAAGGCTGTAAATTTGACACTCGACAAACATATTTATAAATTAGGGGTCGAATCTTTTCCCTTTTGATGTTTTTGGAAGACTTAAAAGGTCGCTAATAACGTTCGGATTGCATTTTGTTACAATCGCCGATTGTCTTTGTCAGAGTGACGTGTTTTTCAAACCCTAAACATCTTTATGTCTGTGTTTATTCTCCCTCCCTAAATCTAAATTTCCTTCGGCATATACATGTATTGTTCCACAATGACGACAATAATTGCTTTTTTGTTCTCGTGGGGAATTATGAGTTCAATGTGAAAAACATGTTATTTAAAAATGAGGTAAATCCGCAACTCAAATTTCTTGATTGAAAAGCGGAATTATGAAAAATATATTAGAACTTAAAACGGAAGATACCACTATAATTTTGTTTCTGCAGACTCGTGACAGATTAAAAACGCTTTTTTAGCCATTGTAATCACAAAATTTGGTGTTATGTTAGGTTTTTTTGGTTATCCATCATAGTAACTGAAATCGAAACACAGTCAATTGTGCGCGTGATGTGATGTACCTACAATAAAATAAATTTCAGTCGTTCGTATTTTGCCCAGACCTTGTGATTTTTTAAACGGCGATATCTTGCAAAGAATCTGAGTGGTAGACCTGCGATGGGGCGGAGTTAGTGTTGAAAAAACGGCCTAAATTTGTCGAATACGCTATAATCTACCACTCTATCAGTCATGATTACGATTTAATCGGGACGGGCACAAATATATTATCAAACTACTGGCACCAGTGGTAGGTATGTTCTTTTGTGGACAGTATGACTTTGCTTCTAATATATATCTTATGATAACAGCGTCGTTCAGGATAAACGGTAGTCCACAAGAACTTCGTTCACTTAACTTCGTTTCATTGTTTCTCATTTCATGTCCGCGGATTGTCGTGATAATTTGAGAAGTAATGATTTTTATTGTCGTGAGTCGGCACAACTGCAGGTTACATTGAACACAATTAAACCAATAAACAAGTCTGTTCAAAAATGCCGGCATTGGTCATGGATTGACAATTGTAAATTGTACTCGTTGAGTTTTAACGCGCGACCTGGGGAATTTTGAAACGGCAATATCTCGCTTAAAAATAATCTCGAGTGCGAAAGAACAAATCATATTTGACAAATTCCCAAAATACGATTTTATTTGTAGTTGGCAGTTTATCACGTATTTTATGTTATTTTAGAATAGTAAATTTTTATTTTAGTAATCTCGAATCAAACGTGAGTAACGATGAGTACCATTAAATTATTACGACAAGACATTTTAAATGCTCGCATCGATCATGGATTGAATATTTTACGCAACAGAAATCTCGTTATCTGCTGATAAAATCGCGACTATACTGTTGTCAAATTTTAGTAAAGCTGTTATTGCGTCTTTGGACAGTTACAAAATTATCCAAGTCGGTATTTTGAAAAGTAATCTAATAGCTCGCGGAGCCCCTAGGTTTCTCTCGTGGAGCCCTGGGGCTCCGTACGGAGCACTTTGAGAACCTATGCCGTAGCCTACTGATTCAGTAGTGACATCTAGCGAATAGAACATTATCGCACTTTCTCTATTTGTAATTTTGCCGTTGTCGAGGACACATGGATGCACAACATTATCCATGATTTACTGCGCCGTGTCTGTCAGTCTGTATATTAAACGCGCAAATTTGTTCGTTTTGAACGTCATATGTGTCTTCGCTTGCTTTGAAATGTTTATATTAGTTGTTGTACGTCTGATTTATTAAACTATTTCAGTATTTCTATGTAAAAGTTTCAGATAAACTTTTTGCAGTTTTGTGCCATTACAGCATTATACGCCTAAACGCCGTCAAGTAGGGTACTAGTAGTTCAATCTGTCCGTAGACTAGTTGGCAGTACCATTTTCTAACCACCACCTGACTACGGCATCCAAAAATTACATCATTACAGCGTCACAGTGGCGAAATAAGGCCCTTTAAAGTGTACGGATTTGCGTCCAAAATGCGCAGACGATCACCTGAAATCAAGCAAGCTATTTCTCGGCTTAACGATTCCGATATTATGAATACTGGGATATGAGAGAGATCGCGAGTTTGTTATCGTTGGCAAAGATGACATTTCGGGCGATTGTAGTGTTTCCTTGGCAAGCTCTAAGACGTGATTGTGATGTAATTTTTGGATGATGTAGTCAGGTGGGGGTTAGGAATAACTTATGCAAAAACGTTCGTTTCACTCCACTTATGGCGTTTAGTGAACATGCGCCCAACTTGGGAATCTTAGTTTTACAACGCCTAGACCAATAGGAGAATAATGCTGTCTGGCTGTATGGTTCAGAACTTACTGATTAACCACATTCAACATCCATCCCCCAAAAAATTAAACTGCCTATAATCTGTATTCTGGTATTGCAGCATATATATAGTATATGGCAACTTTAACTGTTCAAGATAATCTTCAACAATTTTCAACTCCTGGAAACTTGGAAGATGTTGTTTTTAAAAGCATTGAATTTGTTCAAAAAACTTTGTCTGAAAACCGAAACTTAGTTTTGATTACTGCTGGAGGCACATCGGTTCCATTGGAGCAAAATACAGTGCGATGTATAGAGAATTTTAGTACTGGACGCAGAGGAGCAATTTCAGCGGAAAATTTTTTGCTTGCAGATTACAATGTTATATATCTTCACAGAAATGGATCTTCCTTTCCTTTTGAAAGAAAATTTGTTGATTATTTAGATGAAAAAAGTAAAAGATTGATGGATATATTCACAATTGCTAATGATTGTGTCAATATAGCAGAAAATTTTCCTAAAGATTTGAAAGACTCCCTGAAACATTATGAATTGCTGAAAAATAATATACTTACAATTAAATATACAAGCCTTTCAGAATATATGCATTATACGCATGCAATTTGTAATGCATTAAAGCCCATCGAAAAAAGAGCAATGATTTATCTTGCTGCTGCTGTGTCAGATTTTTTCGTTTCTAATAGTGATACTCAAGTTCACAAAATACAATCTTCAGATAAGTTGATTAATCTGAAATTGAGCCCCGTCCCGAAGATGCTTGGAAAATTGGTTGAATCCTGGGCTCCAGATGCTTATGTTGTTACTTTTAAACTGGAGACTGATCCAGAAATACTGGATCATAAAGCGAAATCGGCTCTCATAAAATATCGCCATGAAGCTGTTGTAGCAAATACATTGCATGATCGTTATAACACTGTCAAAATACTAACAGAATTAGAAAATATTGTCATTCGGTTATCAGAAGAGGAAACTCATGCAAAAGTTAATATTGAACAGAAAATTGTGGAAAAGCTTATAAAATTTCATGTGAATCATATGACCTCAATTTGATATGTACATATAATATTATTTCATCTTTGTGACCAGTGGAGATATCATAATAAGTATATATTTATTCCATACCGAGGGCCTTGAGCCAAAAGGATGATTATTCAAAAAGCTGTTTTAGGAAAATAGCGAAAATTGTATTTTCGATCAAACTGTAAATTTATTGAGATGCTTTTATTGAACATTGTATCAAATTAAGATTGAATTCTGGCTTAAATTGCACCCATTGTTTTGAAATAGTTTTGAATGAAAATTTTGACATTTGACCATTTTTGACTTGAAACTCTCGGAACATAACTAGCCTCAATACCTGAATTTATATTTCCACTGTTAAAAAATTTTAAAATGTAGATTATTTATCATCTATGTAATTTTTTTCATTCTTGACTATTAAACTAAATGGAATTGCTAACACAATTATCTGAATCGAATATATTTTGCAGATTTCTTATACTAATTGATATTCGGATCTTTGACTTGTAATACTGTGATTTATATTGGTGATTATTAGAGAGTGATTTGGATACAATAAAATTGCACTTTTGTCCTGAGAATAAGAAAAGCTATAAAAAACCTATTGTGGTGCTCTGACTCTCAAATTGGTTGTCAGCGCTTTTCAATAATTTCTATAATAGTTTGCCATAATCTATGGTATATTAACCTAAGATAATTTTGCATAATAAAATGAAAGACTGCCACTTGTAACACCTATATCTTGTTTAATGGGCTTAGCAAATATTATTAATAATACATATAACTCGTGGGATGACAAAAATATTTATTGATCTTAAAAAGATTCAAAAGGTTTTTATGTTTTTTTTTTGCATATTTTTTTTGTTTTTTCGTTATTGGTGTTTACATTATTTTTTAAAAATTGCTTTTCGAACAAATCAGTTTTGGCTGTATTCACATGTTTATAAAAATAGTACTTCTGTTCCAACTACAGGAGCTGAATAAATCAAAGTAATGAAAGTTGATATGATCTTTTACAATTAGCCTATAATCATTGATTGTCTGTAAGTTTTGAACAAATCATATAAATATTTTGTAATTATTTATTGTTGTTAATAATTTTCAGGTTGCAGATAAAAGGTTATTCTAAAAACTGAAATTATGATTGAAATAACATGTAATGATCGACTGGGGAAAAAGGTTCGAGTAAAATGCAATTCTGATGATACAGTTGGTGATCTAAAGAAATTAATTGCAGCTCAAACTGGTACAAGATCGGATAAAATTGTCTTGAAGAAGTGGTATACTATTTTCAAAGATCACATTACATTAGGTGATTATGAGATACATGATGGAATGAACTTGGAACTATATTATCAATGAATTAAAGGACATAAACTCCTGCAATGTGAGGTATTCTTGATCTAAAGAATGGATAGCAACAGCTCATCGGTGCATCTTGACAGTAAAACAATCTGAAACAATGAACAAATATTGATTTAAAAATAATTAGCTTTAAAAAATTTTGGTTTTACGAAAATGTTTTGGGATAGACAATTTTTTTATGATCACAAATACTGTGATTTATATTTTAGCAAGTTTCTCTCGCAAATATGATTCTGGATTAATCAGTGAATTATTATCAAATTCAGTAATCAGTAGACAATTCATTAAGAATATACAGCGAAGATATCTATTGCTATAGTATAAAGTTGATTTATGCCAGATTTGGTCTTTGTTAATCTGCAACAGAACTTCACTGTTATATGGCTCTGGTATATTGTTCTTAGTTATTTTCATTTTCTGCTTGTTATGCTCTTTTTATTGTACAACTTTTAAATCTTGTGCTCTCAGTAAAATTGGTTTAGTGATGCATGTAAATAAACATATTTGTCACTTATTTTGGTAATTATAACTGATATCTTTCGTGGTTTTATTCTTGAGTTGGTGCGAATCATGTTGTTAAACTTTATTTCATGTTCATCACTCATAGGTGTTTAAAATGTTAAGTTAGTTATGGCCGCATACAGATCTCATGATAGACCAGAAAGGTACGTCATTGTACATAGTTTTTTGTTGGTGTTTTTGTGGATGGACGAAAAACTTCTTTTGATCTTTGACTCCTGCATTACAATAGTTAGAGATAGTGTTTCACAGATAGCTATAGCTAAAAAAAATTGTTCATACTTTTTTGTCATTTCAGTCCAAATTTCATTGTATAAAAAGAAAATTGTCAATAATATTTCAAGTATTTTTTTCGCGTAAGAGTGTATGATATAACTCTGCATTAGTATAATTCTTATTAAAAATGGGGATATAAGTATTGGAGTCTGAGTGTGCTATTAATAAATATTATTTTTATTTCAGTGTTCCTGCTTTGAACCTGGGTCATCTTGGAACAGATATACCAGAATCAAATAACCAAGTGAAGAATCCAGTCAAAACAAATCAACGACTGCAGACCCCTGATTCTAGATCTACCGTAAGCTGGGGGACAGGACTATCAACTCCTTATCATGTTTCAAAACAAGACTTACAATTTGGTGGGACTGTCCATCGGCCTTGTACACATATGAGGCACAAGGGACAGGAAATGAAACAGCCTCAAAAGGTGGGTGACAATTTCCTGACTTATATAAATTAGGTTTTCTTTATCATAACATTGATTCACTGTCTCAAGAAAGTCTCAGCAAAGTCATCTATCGTAGTCGGCGTTTCCAAGCCAGGGAGAAATTCCTTTCCAGAGAGAAATTTTTTAATGATTTGGGGGAGAAAATGCAGAAATATCAAGCATATTCGGCATAGTTTCGGTAATATTTATTAGTTTTTTAGTATTAAGTTGTAATACATATTTATTGGCACATTTTTTTTTCAAACTATGTAAAGCCCAGAATGCAAGCCGCGTGTAACACTAGCAATGGATCTATCAAAGATAGTCTTGATATTGACTACCTCTTGATTTACAAATGTCCTGGGTTCATGTTGTTTATTACAAGATGAAACAATGCCTATTAAATATTTCTCGACTTATTTTGTTTGAAACTTATTTTGTTTTTTATAGAATATAAATATAAATGAAGAGAGAATGAATTTGAAGAATCAGCAACCAGCAGTAGAAGAATTCAGAGCTAAAAGCAAAGACCATAATGCCGACAGCAAACAGAAATATGACAAGTATGATAAAAATGCTGAAAGACAAAAGGTATATTATTGAAATTGGGTCTAACAGATTTGAGTTGGTAAGAAGTTAAATTTTTGTGTCGGTTTACTGTCTTCTCGTACATGAAATCTGCTTATTGCTTAACAATCAAGAGTAAATTTGACCACAGGTCGATCGTTTCATTTAGTAATCTTGTGAGATCTCCCAAGTGTGCTGGAATATTTTAACATTTCTGACATTTGTAATCCTTTTTGCACTGACCTGATGTTATTTTATTTTTTCATATTGAACATTGGCACAGTACCATGACCAGCCTATGTCTGTGTTCTATTTTTGCTAAATATACTCATTGGTTTCTAGTATATTTTTTAATAGAAGTAAAATATTGTGTCTATCAGTTTATTTTCAATCAAATGTTTTTTAATCGTAGGAACAGTCTAGATTCGAACAGATCAAGCATGTGGAAAAAAGAAATGATCATATCAAACCCAAAGGTTAGTATTGGTTTTTTGTTTACTGTTACACTCACATATGCCTATGTGTTTTTGAACCTGTGAGTCACCATTCGTCCATTACACCTGTTTTTGGTGAAATCAAGAAACCTCAGTGGGGTCGTAGGTTCGAATCCCACGGAGGATGATTAAGTGTGGGAGGATCGCTGGACTCCCTGCCATTCTAGGGTGGTTCACATAACCGCTGGTTGGATACTGCTTCCTTCACCTTCTGAAACAACTCGGTAATTAACTTTTTCTATACCCATCATGAACTGGTAACCGGCCACAGTCCGCTATATGAATAAGCTGCTTTATACTTCTCAAGATAATTATGAAACTCCTATCCAGTTTCAGGGCGATAGGAATTTCTCATGAATGATGTCCATGGTTTTGTGACCAAATAATGTGCAAAAATCCCATGATTATATAGACCAGTGTTTTTCAAACTTTTTTCATCACTACCCTATTGACATGGCCGTCAGAAACTAAAATAAAAATAAAGTAAATTTTAATGATTCCGGAAAATATTTGAAAAAAATAATATTGACAATACCTTTATTAATGTGACCGATGTGCTCGCATATTCTCGCACAAAAGATCGAATCTTAGCTCTCATTTCGGTGATGGTGGGTCTCAGTACTGGTTCTTTCAAATTTGATCTAAAATAAATAAGTCTCGTAAGTTTTTACCCTGACCCCCATTGACCCACCGGGAATCACATTTTGTGGAAATGGAATGTTAAATGCTCAGTAGTTAATGATCCTTTTATTTTTAATTTCTAGGTATTGCTAATTGACATGCATGCACAGATTGCACGCATTCAATCAATGACTTAAATTTGTAATATAATTAATAAACAAATTGTTATTTTTGACACCTATCAATACATATATTGATTGATTGCCTCTTACTTTGGACTAGTAATGTGAAACATCTCACGCATAGTTCTGAATGATGGTCAATTGATGGATGTACCGCTTATTCCTATCTGCTCCTTTAGACAGAACTTCATTCATTATTTTATTCACCACGTTTCATATCAAAATTAAAAGTACAAAACTTAAATTTGAATTTGGGAATTTCTGTCCGTTACAGAAATTTGTCATGAATATGATGATTGATTACCGAGCGTGATAGCAGGTTGACACTGATTAAGAAACATTTCGATTCCCTGGCTAAAATATTGCTGTCAACAATTACAATGATTGTTCTCACAATCTGTACGAAATTTTTGTTTTGTTATATGAAATTCTCAGTTTATTTGTTAGATGACCGTCTTTGAATTTACGCAATTCCACATAACAAATGAAGTAGTTCTACAACATTCCTTGATTTTTTTGGCTCTTCCTTCAAAAATTACACCATCAAATACTAAATTTAATCCAAGAGACTTGGATTGGACACAAATGTTGGACACAAATGTATTTCTTTACTTGTAATGTATAAAGATTCATGTGCATATAGTATATTTCTACTTATTTTCAGGAAAAGGTCAATCAGCATATTGGTATCTGGACAAAGAGCTTCAAGATCATCCTCCAACTCCCAAGGTAAGCTTTATATGGCATATTCAATACCTATTTAGCTTTTATTAGACTCACGTTGACTTCATAAACCTTAAAATGGAATGGAATAATATATGAATTGATTGCTGGTCATCTTGTAAAAGCTGTTGTATTTCTTCATTTCAATATTGTTTGCAGGTTGACGATACGCCTACAATAGATGACTTAGCACATATGCAAGCTGATTATACTGGACAATCTTATACTGATATACACAGTGCAAGAAAATATGCTGCGGTAAGACGATATGGATTAAAGTTATTGCGCTTTTTGCATGCAAAATGTTTTCTTACATATTACAATACAATACATGATATATTTCAGGAAGATGATCTTACAAACAAACAAAAACAACGAGTCATGGAACAAGTCCTAGTTGATTTATTATCAAGACATGTTATAAGTGATCCTGACCAGGATAAAGATCCTGCAAGATCTAATCCTGCTGATCCACTTCGACAACAACCAGGAATGCCAATGCAACCTGTTAGAAATCGATCAAGAAGGCTCCACGATACTAAGTATGTGATTTAATGGGGTCTATTGCACCAGCCTCTGTTTGATTTCGTAACATTTCAACAAATTTACTCTCTCTCTGCGCTCAGGCGTTTTAAACATTTGATTGGCAGAACACTTCCTAAACATTTTTCTCTTTAATAGTACAATAGAAATCAAATGGCACCACTAATTTGTTCCTTTTTAATACTAAAATCAAAATATGCTGTGTGATGAGATTGTGTTAGATTTATGGTAACAGACCATTTTTTCTCCTGTCCGGTATAACTATCATTAGTTTTGTTCTACATTATGTTTTAAATTGTAAATACTTCTATCTTTTGAATATTATATTAAAAATTTGAATGTGAATTCAAATTGAAATATTGGGAATATTACGATTCTTCAGTTCCAATAATACTAGTACCTCTTACATATCAATTACTGCTTGTGAAGATCCTCGTTCGGAGTGTAAATATGAAATTGCCTCGTAGAATTCAATGGTTACATCCTGTTAAAAAAATAATTGCATTAATATTGTGAATAGCCTGGTATTACGATATTGCTATTTGTTGGAATTATCATCTCTTTATCAGAACTGTTTTTTTGTCTTAGGATAAGTACAGTAGGAGCTGTAACGGAAACAAGTTTGAAATCCAGAGTTACGTTTTCAGCAAGAATTCTCACCCAGAATGGAAGAGATGCCTTGAGAGAATTGTTTGGATTTTTCTTTCATCACGATAATACAGTCACTGTTTATGAATACAGGAATTTTGGAAAAAAGTATGTTATAGGTATAGGTTATATAAATACTGTTTTGTAAAACTAGTTAAGTAGCGATTTAGTTGTGAGCCTTACTGGCATATTCAACCAATCCTATCGGGCTATCGCGTTTTATTAATCCAATTTTTTTTACCTTGAGTAGCAGTATGAAATATGGGGTCGACAATCAAACCAATTTTTACCAACGCAGAGTCTTGGTTTTTTGTATGAATCGAAGGATGTGAACCATTTTGCATGCGTATCCTTACTTCAATTATACAACCCCAATTAACACTTTCCTAATTAGCAAGGCCATGGTTTGCAATTGTATCTTTAGTCAATTTCATGAATCACTTTCTGAATGCTTTGACTGACCTCATAGAACTTTTCTGAGTAATTTTTAACAATATAAAATTTAAGTGAAATTTTTTGTTGAATTACAGCAATTTCAAAGCACTTCCTTTTATATCCCGGGGAAAGTATAAACATCAGAATGGTAGAAGGAAAGGAAAAGATGTGAGTTCCCATGATATTGAGTTGGGAAAGAATCTTGCCTTTACAACAAGCAGTCTATCACACCTTCCAGAAACAATAAAGAAAAGGTAAGCTGACTTTCTATTATAAATTCTGATCAAATAAAACTTTGTATTTCAGGCGTATTGCATTGAAGTGATATTTGGTTTGCATTTTCTAATTTTAATTAAAGCAGGATAGACTTCGTATATAAGTCCTTAAACAACCCTCTTGTGTTGCTTTTGGGGTTGAACTTGTTGCTGACTTATATTCATACATGGCCAACAAAAAGTTGGCAGCTCAGATGTGTGAACAAAATACCCACCGGTAATGAGGAAAATTCGAAACTTATGCCCAACTACAGCTCGTCTCAAAATAAAGTATACACTTTTAATTTTGATTTGCTTTTCAGGTACTCATCATAGATAGTTCATTTCTTCGGAAAACATAGTATGGATAAGTAGTTTCTTCGGAAAACATAGTATGGATAAGTAGTAAAATTTACGTAGGTATTGTTTGCATTTTTCATCAACCAATCAATGACATGAAGATTAAACCAAGAAGAGGTGCAAAATTGCTGTTTATTAACAAAGAACATATAAATCAGTGAGGCAAACTCAGCGCCTTTTTGACAGAGGATTTGGAATTAATTTGGCTCTGCATGTTTTTTTCAGAGCGTCCGCTTCTTGGTCTTCCTGATCTTTGTGCATTAACTACAGATCCAGTTTCCTTAAATTTACGAAGAATTTCATAAGTTGTTAGTCGTGTAGTAGTCGAATTAATTCCAAATTCTCTGTTAAAGTGGCACTCAGTTTTTTCACTGATTTATATGCTTTTTGTCAAACAGCATTTTTGCACCTCATTTCTTGGTTTAATCTCCTTGTTATTGATTGGTTGATGAATAATGCAAACAAAACCTAAATTTAACTACTTATCCATACTATGTTTTCTGGAGATGAGTACCTGAAAAGCAAATCAAAATTTAAAGTGTATACTTTTTTTTGAGACACCCTGTATAGAGTGAATTTTTAGTGATAGATTGAACTGAGTTAAGGTGTGTGATGATTTTTTTTGGTAAACAGTTCAAAAAGTTGTCTAAATTATGAATGATGGTGTATTGATAAATAACTCTTCTATCTGCTTCTTTGGGCAAACTTAACTTAGGAGACTTATCATTAAACTTATTCTATATTGAAATTACAAAACTTTGGTAACTTGTTCTGAAATAATTCCAATTTCAAAAATTAAGTTTTCATCTTTCACCTTCATTTTTTGAGTTCTTAAATCTCTAAATTACAATTGCTAAATACTTGCTTTCAGTAAATTTGTAACAATAAGAATATCAGGAATTGATGATTCAAATTCTGGGGGTGATTGTGGTTGGAATATGTCAACTGATGATAGAGATCTTGATACTGACGCTCGTCGGGAAAGACAGGATCGTGAAGTTATGAGAAAAATTCAAAGTATAATGAACACTTTTCTAAATGTTTCTACTTTCATTATATGTAATTTTAATTTATCAAGTGTATTCAAAATATTACCGACAACTAGTAAGAACCATATGATATGAACTTATTTCTATGTCCTGATGGCTTATATGGGTCATACACACAACTATAATAGGCCATCGATGGCAATCGTATTCACTTCTTAATCCTTTTTTTTTCTCGTCATCTACTCCAGGGGTTCTCAAACTTTTGGTGTTATGAAGCTCGCTAAGAGGTTGACTATTATTTACGGAGCCCCACTATTCATTTATAAAAATAAAAACGCATTGCTACGATTAATGTTTCTGTGTGAAAAAAAATTACTTTATTTAATGACTTGGATGTAGTGTCGAAATGTGGCAAATTGAAATATGGCATTTTCCATTTGAACTTGCCTTGTAGCCACATTTCTACTTTGTTACATAATTAGCCGAGTCAGTATTTTATAAGTAATGGAGCCCTTTGGTTTTTCTCATAAAGCCCTGGGTCTTTGTATGGAGCACATTGAGCACCTACGATCTATTATACATTATTTTAAAGGCTTCGTTCGAGAAAAGCTACGTTCTAGAAGTGTCAGTGTGCTGATGGGACTTGGTCAATTATTCCGTACAATGGATAAATCAGGAGATGGTTTGCTTAGTAAATCAGAACTCGCAGACGCTCTCGAGCAGTTTGGTATTGCAATACCCCAAGAGGTATAAATATTAATGAATTTATTAATTTCATCAATAACGAGAATGTAACAAATTACAATAAATTTGTTTTCAGAATTTTGATTCTGTATGGAGAGTTGTGGATGAGAATAATGATGGTGCAATCGATTACGGTGAATTCATGAGAGCTTTTATAGGTATAATTAATGTTTTAATATATTATACTGCTTCAAGATTCCATTTTTAATCATAATTTTCTATTGAACAGAATAATATAGATTTCTTTGAAGACCTATCAAAAAATTATCAAACATATGCTTAAAATCAAACAATCAGCAGGAAATTAATGCAAATTTTTATCAACATCAGCAAACATTAAAGTAAAAAAGATTCACACTTTTTAGAAAGTTGTTTTTTTGTTTTCATTTTTTGTCAGACAAAACGCATCGTTGTAGTTATCAAAACCTATCTTGGTTATTCCTTTAGATGGCCTGACTTTTTGTATTTGATTAATATCTGTGTATATCTCTATTAAAAAATGATAATCTGTTCTTATATTAGTTGTTGGCCAAGTTTTTATAGATAATCCATGTAGTGGTTTTATTTATACTTAGGTGAGATGGGAGAATTTCGAAAACAAATTGTTAGAAAAGTATTTAGGAAACTCGATCCACATAAGACTGGAAGTGCAAGTCTACTTGATATGAAAAAAATGTACAGTGCTAGGAAACATCCTCTCGTAGCATCAGGTGAACTTTTAATGTGTAATTGCACAAAATCAAGATTTGAATTTTATATTGGATAACAGTTACAAGTGATAAATTCACCTGCTTTATCAATTTTAATAAACAAAATTTGTGTATCTGAATGGAAAATTACCAATTTAGTTGTAAGCTAACCAAGTATAAAAACCAAATTGTTGCAATGGTATTTAAAAAAAGTATTGGTAGATATCTGGTTGTTAAATTAGACTTATGGCGATTTCATAAGTAGAAAATAATTTTGTGTATTTTATATTGTACGAACATCATTATTTATAAGAAAAGTTGGCAATAATGACTGACAATAATTTTTAATTATTGTTTTATTCCAATGAGTGTTTTAGTGATTGAAATATTAAGTTCATCCAGATTAACAAATAGAATAATGTTCAGGGCAACTGACACAAGAAGAAATGGAAATTCGTTTCATCGATTCGTTCAATCAAGGATATTCAGTAGATCCTGGCAGGGTGTCATATGTTGAATTTGAAGAATATTACGAAGGGCTGAGCATTGTTATAACGAGTGATAATGATTTTTCAAACATGATGAGAAATTGTTGGGGAGTATAAATTGAGTTTTTGTCTCAAATTTTAAGCGCCCGGAATCAGGATAGATGGTTTTGTCAAAATCCTCTTGCATAATTGAACATTTCCGAAAGTATTTTCAATAATATTTTGTAAATTATTTTATTTAGTTATTGTATTCTTTCTCTTCGCCGAATTCCATTATTGTCTCAAATTTTAGGCGTCCGGAAAGACAGTGTTGTCAAAATCCAGTTTCATAATCGAATGTTTCAAAAAAGATTTCCAGAAATGTTTTATGAATCTTTGCAATTAGGTTTTGTATTCTTTCTCTTCGCCGAATTCCATTATATGATATATATCATTTGCAGCAGTGGTATTAGTTGTAGATATTTAAGAATGCCCGCGTATTATTTTATTTAGTTTTAGCATTTGTATTGAACAGTTTCAATGAATTTTCGATAAAGTTTAATATAAGTGATTTTGCTAATGAAATATGTATTTGTGTAAATGTATATTGCATTTGATAGTAAAGCATAAAAAGTTGTAGTTCAAGAATTATTATAGTTAAAAATTGAGTAATCAAGTTATTTATAATGATACATTTATTATTACTCACCACCATCAGTTTACTTGCGAAAATCACAATGGCAATATAATTCGATTACTTGAAAAGTTGAGATATCAGTTTTATCACATTTAAAAAACTCTGAAATCTATCAGGTAATTTGTATTACTAACCTCAATTATATTCCAGATATAACTATGTATTTAGCAAAAAAAAGTTAGTAATCTGTCTAATAACAAATATAAACATGAAGTATTGAATATTGAATTTACCTTCTACATGCCACGTTCTTCAACACAATAGTAGCACTGTTTTATTGAATTGTATATTTGCACCTATCATGTATATATAATTTTAGAGTTTGCTAAACTGGTGCATATGACATCCTTTCAATCTATATTAGTACAACTGTTTTTTGTGAGCTAAAGATTTATGCGTTCCACGGAATACTTCATATAATTCTTATATAATGTTTGTTTTTCTTTTCAAATTACTATTTACCATGTATTTTTATATTAATTGATATTGTCTTCAATTAGTCGTTTTGTAGATTTTCTAGGAAAATATATGCCTTGTGCAATGTATGAAATTTGTTTGTTGTGTGTTTCCATACTTCAAATAGTGGACGGTATTCAAGTGAGCGCCTAACGCGCAAGATGACAGGTATTTTCCTGATGGCACTGGGAAGTCAGTTATTACTTTATTTGCCATGTTCCAAAGGCTGTTCCGTTATTCTATATCGTTAATTTCGGCCGGGTAGGGTATCTAATTTTATGAGTGGGTAACTGTTTCCGTCATATTGAAAAGAGTTCTGAATTCCTTCCTGTCATTGTAAGACAAGCTCTATTTTCCGCTCTTCGCGGAAATTTTTTTGTTTCACGGATATTTGAACCCATACTAACCCTAACCCATGGATTTAAGCACCCGCATATAGATTGAACCCGGATATACACATGGGATCAAATGTACGGTCACCATTTTCAACATGTTTTTGAGTAGTACATACTTATTATCTGTTATTTGTAGCTTATTGTTAGCTAGTTATTTTTGAAGTGGGACGCGAGACTTTACAAATTCTAAAAAGGCGGCGCGGCCCAAAACGTTTGAGTACCACCGGTTTAGTTAAAAAATAAAGAGGGAATACTGTACCTATGATGGCAATCGAAATATTTTTAAAACTATGAATCTCTTGACTTTTGTTAATGCGCCCTGGTAGACAAAAAAGGAGGCAACGATTCTCCAGTACATAAATGTTTATTAGATGCATATAAATCATATAATTAACCGATATTCTTCAAATTGAGCCATTGCTTCTATTTTCACTTTCAAGCCTTTGCTTGTTTATCGCTCTTCTTTTTCGCACGAGGACGATAATAAGCACAATGATTACAACGACAAGTATGACTGCTGCTATTGATGTGAAGATGTAGATTTGTAGAAACTCTAATAGAAATATACTTATGTTATGTAAAGTTCTGCCGATTAGAAGCTCAAATGATCCCGAATTGCGTATGTAAGAAATGTATGCGCAGTGGCGTAGCATCCATCCCCGCAACCCCCGCGGTCGCGGGAGGGCCCACAGCGCAAAGGGGCCCAAGCGGTTAGAATTTAGAAATTTAAGCCGCAAACCAAAAGCTTCAGTGCAAAACAAGTAATGCACATCTAGTATCATTGATGTTAGGTCTGCTCAAATCGTTTTGTCACGTAACAATGCCAAGGAGTCGTCGATTTTCGGCGTCTTGTGGTTTGATCGCACCGACAAAATTACGAAGGCTGTCAGAATGATGTCGGAAGCAAAACCTCTCAGTGGCGCACAGAAACGCAGAAAAAGGGCAGAAGAGGAAGAACATGTGAAAAAATTAAAGTAACCAAGATAAACGGCAAATTTTAGGTTACCATTGCCTTTTTATAGCGACATGTTATGCTTTTTGACGAAATAAAAAAAAGCGTTGTTTTAGCTTATGTCCGAGAGTTTTTAGGGTCATTTTCACAAAATATTTTTGCGGGGGGGGGGGGCCCACGAGAGTCTTGCTACGCCACTGTGTATGCGTTTCAGTCAGAGTCTAGTTAGTACTGACTACTGGAGAATTCCGCCCTATTACCAAAGCGTGGCCATAATGACTAAAAACTGTGGTTTATTACTTTCCACTTTGACATTAATTTAAATCAACTCACTCTGATCTTTTTCAATTTCCTCATAAACCATTTCGTAAGTTCCAGTCCCGAAGTCTTCTTCAACACCCTTGTCCTTGATAGCAACAGGTCCGTATGTAATTATGCCCTTATTCCCGCTTATCTTATCTTCATTAGTGCCAAGATCTCGTCGTCGTCTAGACGTGGCATCTACTGCATCCGAAACTCCGTTGCATACAGGCTAAATATATATATATATATATATAGGATATGAAGTTCAAATTTATCCAAAAAAAAAACTGTGGCCTAATCGCATGACTTACCACGGCCTTTAGTCTGTTTGGTTCAAGTCGGGTATAGCAATATTAAAAGTTATTCGTTTGAAATGCTTGGACTTGATGGTGGAAAATGACTTAACCGATCAGCGATTACGTAGACCACCCTACGATAATGATGGGTCCAGCAATCATCTCGCACATTACTATTCTCCACGGTGTCCCAAAATAGGACGTATAAATAACATATTTATACGTTATACGCGTTTCTAATATTCTGATATATAAACCCTCGTAATTGTTAAGTGCATACAAAGTGTTACATACCCCGACTCCAGAGCATCTTTCTTCCGTTTGGTTGCAAACTTTAATTTCACAGTGGAGGTAGAAATATCTGGTATGCAGTAAGCAAATATCAATTAAAACGTATTGCCACAAAATATTGCAAAAAATTACTACGTATGAACTCACTCAACATTGCTTTTCCACTGAAACATCGCAAAACGGAATCGAGCTTTCATGCTATTACCATTTGAAATTATTTGTACAGTGTCATCGTTTGGACTCGAACACCTATCGGAAAACGATATGAAACGATTAAGTATAGATAATACAATTATTTTTGCTCAAAACCAACAGCATACCTATTTACGATTAGATGGTGATACAACTTCTGTATTGCATGATTTTTATCGTCTGTTGCATAACAGGTTTCTATTGTCGATACAATCTCTTTCATTCCAAATGTATCAGTCACATCCACAGACACGTAGACTGGAGTTCCTATAATTAATTATTCATCATCATAATTTGCAAATGTCAAAGTCAACTATAAATTGATCAGCAACCTTTTTTTATATTTTCAACATATTTTCTATTAGATTTAACAATATTGACGTCGTTGGAATGGCGATGAACACGGGTACAAAAGCTTAAAGGGAGCTGCTTGCATTGAATATATATATATACGTTCTACTACCACGTACCGACTAGAATTGTAGGTCTTGCACTGAACATGCTTTTTGAATTGAAATCGCTTCTCTGATATAATCCCATCCCCACGCCAAATTCACCTCTTGCCGTGACAAAATTCAAAGTTCTGAAATCAAAGAAGTAATCAATTAAGTCGCTATGATACGTCTGTACTAATTCTGTTTTGGTGGTTGGGCGCAGGGTAGGATTCCGAAGTATATTTTAACCGGACACAATCCCCCCATATACTGTCCTAGATTAGAGGGACGAAAAAATGTTACATAGATAGATGGTAGTTGAACACGACTTTATCATGTCTTGAAACAATGAAAACCAAAATTGAAAACAAGTAACTTACTCAAGCACGGGTGTCAAAGATAGGTCGGAACTGACAATATATTTTCTGTCGTAATCGCATTGGAATTTGAAGATCCGAGTGGTAGAAGTCTCTGTCTCAAATACAACCTCGTTTGTGTAGGCGTATTTGTCAGATGATACCTACAATAATAGAATAGTTGAGAGAGAGATTTTGAAATAATAGTTCAGCACAGGGTGATCCAAACCCTGGCAAGCACAATAATTTAGCGTATAATATGCCATTGGCAGATATTTGTATTTATTGGCAATACATTTTTGAGTTTTTCATCTATTCCAACTGAAGTTGGGATTCCCGATGTCGGGAATGATGTTTGTTTAAATCACAAAAGTTTAATGTTGTATCTATAAACGTCAAGACGGTTCCATTACTGAAATGACGTCCTGTGATCGGTACAAGGAGAATGAATTGTCTTAACAGGGCCCAGCCGATGAAATGAGTCGCGCTTTCATCTTAACTTCGCACCTTAAGCTCGCGTCAAGCAACCTCTTATATTTTGAGACGTTTTGTGCTTATATTTTAGTAAAAAACACTCCATATTTTCAAGCGTTGGCCATGTGACAGCAGTGACGAAACGCAGAGCTGACTTGGGACGCTTGATTCAAGTTCTTTTTAGCTATATGTCTCGAAATCCCAACTTAGACGGACTTGGTTGTTTTTTGACGATAACACTATGCCTGCTCACGCCGCAAGTTATTAAATTAGTAAAAAATAGCAATTCGTCATAAAATGAGTCTTGAAAAAAAAGGTGACAGAGGAGAAACGTATTTCCTTGCCCACCACAACTGTAGACCACAGTGTCTGGTGTGCTTTAAAGTAATATCTGTCACGAGAGAATATAAATTGAAGCGACATCACAAAGCCAAACACGAGAATGGATACGGAAAATACCACGGTATTTCTCGGGAAGCAATTATAAAATAACTGAAGGCCAAATTTTCTTCTTTAAAAAAGCCACTCATGCAACATAATAATAGGGTGGTTAGAACGGTAAACTCTCATTCTTTACTATGGTTAAAGTAAGTAAACTCGCGATATTTTTATCTCTTTTGGGTTTTCTCCGACAGTGGTCCGCGAGATCTCCTCGAATGTTTTTGCGGCCCTTCAACTTCTCAACCTTGGACCACTCCGGTGTAGCATTTGGCTGAATTCAAATAGTGTGAAATAACACATCATCGACGTAATTCACCTTTACTTTCGTTCCACAATTTTTGAAGGGCGGAAACAACGTCATTGAATATCCCCCTCCTGATTCTGCGTTGGAGAAACATTCAGAAACTCCGCTGAAATGAAGTTGCTTCGCATCGGTGACTTCTATTCTCTGATCCGATAGAAACCTAATGTTTAGAAAACATATATATTAGAATATGCAATTCAAGAGTCTTGCTGCACGCTAACACAAATATATTTCTGTAACGTTTCGTCTGACCAAAATCAGACAAGCAGTTATCCTGCTCGAAAGTAATATGCTGCCGTTAGATTTTATATAAGCTATCGGGTATCGAAAATACTATTATTGAAGGATAAATGATATGTAAGCCATTTATTCATTCCTGCGTAAACCAAATACACACAAAAAACACAACAATTAACAGTTCTTTCATAGATAGTTATTTTCCTGATAGTTATGACATTACTCTTTTTTCTAAAACATAATAAAAAGCCATACTCTTTACGCAAAGTTGAATTTTTTTTTTAAACATTACTATTGTTGATTGCATACGGGCCAGTTGTTTCTGTTTTTAATTTTCTGACATGGCTTAGTTTGATCATATTAAAAACACTTTTTCATTAGCCATGTCAGCAATAAGAAGTCATCCAGTACTACTGAACCAAGTTAAATGGGCTATCAATTCAATATTTCCATGACAATTCGCCTAAAGTAAGACCTCGCAGGCTTCCTTTAAAAATTGGCCAGTCAATACGGTATACTCTATACCTCTCAGAAAACTCAATGTAGATACTATCCTTCCAGCATCGCAGTGTCGCTCCTGATTGGACTTCACACTTGCCTGAAGAAATAAATATTTCACAATAATGCAAAAAAATTGAAAAACGGTTTTGGAATTTTATCTGTGGAGATTTTACAAAACTTCTTAAACTGCCTAAAGATCCGGTTGTTACGACTCGCTAACCAAATTAGTAGTGAACTCAAAAGTTGTCCACGACAATTCGAGTGTAATGGAAGTCTTTACGCCTAGCACTCACCTAAGCACGATAAAAACAGGATTTGTCCAATAATCCCAAACAGTTTTTGGTTCATTGTTGGTTTATTATACTCTCCACAAACTCATAAATGTTCTCTATACAATGCCTAACTGAAATGATTATTATTGCAGAACCACAGCAAGATATCTAGTCTCTAATGATCACAACAGCAGAAATTTTGTGATACAAGTCTGCAAATTGCCCGAGGGCTGAAAATCTAGCATTGCCAGTAATTAGAACAATATGTCAAATATAAACCTATAGTCTCGCATACAGCTTTGTTGATACACATTTCTTGTCAAACCGTCACGATGGTACAACTTCCCAGCGACCACGTTCAGTCATCAGCTTTCGACTGGTAAAATAATAATAAAAAGCAATAGTTATGATACGTTACGGTGCTATAAATGCTTGTATCGGAAGCTTATACTTCCGATCAACGTTTGGACGTGGATTTTCGATAAAGGTTGTGCGCGAGCTGAGTTTCAGGTGTATATTACAAGCCTTGCGGAAGTACATGCTTATTGCAAACCTTGAACGAGCCGATGTGAACGTCACTGTGTAGGAGCGCAGGTTTATACCTTGTGAGGCATAGGAATGTTGGAGAGAATTGCCTGATTATTAACATCGCGTGAGGTTTACATAACTGTAGAATAAATATTGGAAAATATTATTTTACTCAGTACAGGAGAAATAACATTTTAGTAATTTCAAAGGCAAATATTTGAGAGGCCAAAATTGCTTCAGAACACATAAAATAAATCGTCTGTGGTTCAAAATTCGTCAATGAAAGTTGGAATTCTCTACCGTGCTCATCTGTATTTGATCCGAGAATGTAAATTCGCTTGTACAAACCATTGAATCGGGTGGCGCTCTTACTGCTGTACAAAACCTGTTGGGCCAAATTGGAAAAATTCAAATTCAAATATATAGAGGACTTGCACGGGTCACGTGACTTTGTTCACTGGACGGCAAAAAAACAAAAACGTCCATTTGGCTCCTGTCAGTTGCAAGTCGGATTATAAGTTTCCGTTTTGTTTGGCTGTTAAAAATGGTTATTTCGTATTGTTCCGTTGGCTGTACGTATAGTACAAGTACGAAATAGATCTTCAGTTATATTCCACTGTTTTCAAAAGATCCGGAACGTCGCGCAATGTGGATATCACCTATTGGCAGGACTGCTTGGTGTCAAGTCCAGAAGTCATCTCGCTTGTGTTTCACTGTTTGCGGACAGCACTTCGTTGATGGTGAATGATAATGTGCCGCTATCAATTTCTTTAAATATTCATAAGCTCCCTCATTTCAATAGAAAGCAGATGACAAACTACTGTTATTGGTAGGCCTAGTTGCAGACTTGACTTGTGTAAGGAATTAATCATCAATTGCCATAAGGTATTGTTTCCCTAGTTAGCAGGTTATCTATTAGTAAGTGTGAAAAGTTGAATAGATAACTAAAGTTTAACGCCAGTGCTCATGCAAAAAATAACCAGATTTCAATTGAGTTCGCCATCTAGGAATACCCTCGCCACCGCATCTCCAATCAGGTTTCAATCCCATGCGGGGATAGTTATGTGCGAGAGGATTGCAGCTCTCCTCCCACTGAGGGTGGTTCGCACGACCGCCGGCGACGTTCCGGATCTTTTGAAAACAGTGCAATATAACTGAAGATCCATTTCGTTGTCTATACTATACGTACAGCTAATGGAACAATACGAAATAACCATTTTCAACAGCCAAACAAACCGGAAACGTATAATCCGAACTGCAACTGACAGGAGCGAAATGGATGTTTTTGTTTTTTTGCCGTCCAGTAAACAAAGTCACGTGACCTGTGCAAGTCCTCTATATAGGCCTAACTGACTCACAATTGGCACCCAAAGTGACAACTCTTCCCCGTCGACAAAATAGTGTCTCACTGTGTTCATTTTGCACATATTGTCCCGAACTGAAATGCCTCGGTCTCGGTGTATCTTCGGTATTCCAGTTATCGTCCCCTTGCTATGTAGTGAGTATACTTTTATTTCTGAAGGAGTGGGCATAATTTTGCTCACCATTACCACCGTCAGCCGTCACCCATCAATGTGGAAACGAACTTTTCTTTCATTTCTGTCACAAAAGTTAATAAGAAATAAGTTGGGTGTTGACCTCACAACCATAATTTAACATTCACTTGTAGCAGATTATCAGAAATTCTTTTGAACGACCACTTATTTTGAAGTTTTGGGTTACATTTTCGAATTTTTAATTCAAATATCATGATAATTTGTTGTCAGTAATTTTTAGACGCAGCTGCTGAAGTAGGCTAGTTTGAGTAAATGGTCATTTAGGGACGTTTCCCTGACCCCTGAAGAATTTCCCCCATCTTTTACCATAGAAAATTTTTTATTACCGTACTTGTTTTGAGAGCTTTTTGCAGAGTGGACGCTTACAAACTGTTTTACTATGAAACCGTCATTTTTATTATAATATTTAAACACGTGTTGCTTACAGGTACTGGTATGTTAGCTGATTTTAGCCTAGTCTATCGCAGGTTTTTCGTGACTAATTTTTGAATACTAGAACTAAACTGAAGCTTATCGGAGGACATAATGAGATAAATTATTTGATTAACAATTGATTTTTGGAAACACTACTGAAAACTGACAAATAACACGCAAAACCGCGAAAACGAGCCAATGTTTACACATAGATTTTACATAACATGCATTGTCCCTGTCCCTGGTTTACAGCAATGCTTGAATACCTTTCTGAGCAAAAGAAGTTTCTGAGCGACCAGGCGACTGTACAAGTATAAATATATAAGTATAAGTTTATTTCGACTATAATCAGCATAACAATACATTTGACAGATAAAAACAAATAAATAAAAACTGATTATAAAATCAGGGAGCAAACAAAACCTTAGATAAGGTTTATAACGTATAAAATATAAGATGGAAGGTTTTGCCAAGAGGAAGTGCTACGTGTTTACTCACCTAAAATTATTAAGTTATTTCACACACGCTCACATTCACCCACCAGCCACACATACACACAACCACTGAGAAGTTATTTAAGTAAGAATAAAACGCGATAAATTTAGGGTATACTATACAGTAAACGAAAAAAATAAATAAATACTAGAAAAGAAAAAAATTATTTGCCACACCATATTGATATTTTTGTAATTGTTGCCACTGCCAAATTGATCGATTTTCTAATCCAGGGGTTCTCAACCTTTTTCCTGTTAAGTACTCCCGGAGTCATGAAATATTCAACACGAACCCCCAGTAATCAGACACCAAACAATATTGTGATATATTGACTAACAATTTAACAATTTTTAAACTGTGTTTTGAAGCAGTGGATCTCAACCGCTGGTCCGCGGACGGGCACCAGAAGCTTTTTTGTCGGTCTGCGAGAAATCATTTTGTTTTTCTGCCGTCCCCAATCGCTTCACCGAACCCGAAATAACGATTTTGCATTGGTTTATTCCGCAATTTCTCTTTCGCCGACATATTGCTGTTTGCGGTTTTAATGGCCTTACGACGTCTTGGCGCCGAGTTTTCACAATTTTCGCTTTTTCGGTTCCGATACATCGCGAGAGCGTCCGTCAAATCTCGCAATATTCAGAAACCCAAAGATCGACGCACGTGTTTTTTCTGTTCTGCATGCCTTTTCTGCATAATATGAACATCCAAGTAAAAGGTTATGAATATTTCTATGTTCAACCCAGAAAACAGTCATGGACAGTATAATACTCCAGGGCTTCGTCTTGACATCACTAAACTATGAGCTTGTTGCAATCCTACAGGTGGTAACAAGACGCGCAACAAAAACATGGGCCGCAGAGATCTTTTCCATGTGATTCACAGCAGGGCTGTGAAACTGGTTCCAAGTCACCGACGACTTTGTCATCTTAATGCAAATTCCTTTTGTTTGAGGCGTTGATTAAATGCAGAGGGATTATTATGAGATCAGTTGACCAACAAAGCATTTTGACATTTTTCAACAAGCATAATGACAATAGGTCCAATTCTGGACAGAGTTTGATCCACTCATTCACTCCACTCCAGTGAGTGCCCGACATTGCATTACATTTCGCAAATATATGTTATTATTTTCTATTCCCCTCATTTCAATTTTTTGCCGATCCGCGAATACATTTTATTTAATTTTACCGGTCTGACAGAAAGGTTGGGAACCACTGTTAGAACTGAGATAAAACAAAAGTATTTGTTTTATTTATACAGAACATTAGTGTAACGGCTGACACTGTTTATTGCAAATAAGTTTCTCAATTTGAGGAGAAAACAACACATTGTCTTCTGAGATTTGCCAGTTTAACTGCAAAGCTGTGGATTTCACATTGTTGAGTTACAGCAACGCAAGATCAGGGAAAATCCACGCATTTTCCTCTGATAGTAAAGGACCTTGAAAAATAGCAACAAATAAAAACTCATCTGCCATTTAAGTACCTCTGGAAATCTTCTCGTGAACCGCTGGGGGTTCAGATTGTAATAAGTAATTAAAGTTACCGGTAACAGTAAAATTACTATAATTAGGTAAAGTAGGATATGGAAATAAATTGGTTACAAAGGGTGTAACTGAAGTTATCCATTCTTGGGTATTGATTTCAGGCAAAGATGTAGGAATAAGGTTGGTATTTTACAGGATATCGGAGTCTTTTTTTGATTTTTTCCTTATGTGTTTTACTTCATTTAATCACTTTGAAGTAACCTGAAAAACAAAAAATTAAACTGCAAGTAGATGTTTCAATGATTGGGTGAAGGGGAACGCTCTGAACTATTTATTACAGGCAAAAAATAATTGTTTTAATATAATGGGATGTATTGTCATTATATAGCGATGGATAGATGATCTATGATGACATTCTGCCTGGGACAGAGAAAAATTTATCACATCATGCAAAAATCACACAAAATTTTACTATCTATACCTTGGCCAACAAGTCAACTCAAACACCAATACCATGCCTTAACATAAAATGCATGCATACATAAATGATATAAAAACCACATCCAATTTCAATGACCCACAGCAAATTAAAACCTGAAGGGGAGAATCCAACATAGCTCTACTACTCGCCTAGTTGCAACAATTAGTAACCTTGCAGAAACTATATTATACTATCTACAACCCACTCAAACATAAGACCAAGCGT